TGTATTTTCCAGTTTTTGGGTTCCAGGTGCTGTATGTTTGCTAAGGCCAAGCTGTATGAGAAATTATATATAAGAATCTATAATTGTAATGCAGCTGACAAAGCTCCAGAAAATACAGAATTACGGGATGACAGAATAAGATCCGACTGTTTTCTGTTGTTTTAACAGACAACATGGACTGTCAGATATGTTTTTGTACAATCAAACAGTATACATAATCAAATGCTCTTTCCAAAAAGATATTAGAAATATAAAAACATGAATTCTCCAATGCATCCAATAAGATTAGTCAGTGTATACTAATGAGAATAAATAGTGTAAAAGCAACAGTTTAAGAACCTTGCAGCTCAGGAAGAAGCCCTCTGGGTTTTGGTATGCAGTGCAGCGGTGTGTTTACACATATGTAAACACACTTGGAAGATATTGGTTATGCAGTAACAGCTGTTCACCCCCAGCAGAGGTGAACAAAACATTACATAAACTCCAGTTTGTAACACAGCGACCGGGAGTTTTTGTTGAGTTTCTGATTGTGTCATATTTTCATGTAATGATTTCATAATCTATTGAGTTGCAGTCAAGTTAACAGGAAACCCTGTTAACTTGATGGCAGGTGTTGTCGTTGCTTTTACTGAACACTGCAATGCAACATGTGGAGGGTGTGGTTGTTATGAGATGCTATCAGTAGGTAGTGTTGCACGATATTCGCTCTGGATGTGTTTTTTCTTTCTGTTTTATGCTTTAGCTAGCTATTTAAAAAAAAAATTGCCCACATATGCATTTTCTACTGCATACTGTTTTAGCTACTTTCTCACTTATTTAAATGGACTTACAAACTAGCTTTTCAGTGTCAGAACCACAACTAAATGAACTTCAAAAAATGTTTATCAATCTTTGATGCAAAAGGCTCATTAAAAAAATACGAAGAAAGAGCGCTAGCAGTGAGCTCTTGCACAGACAGGTCATTGGAATAGTGGTAAAGATCAACGTGACTGCACACTTGTGTCATCAAGCCAGCTACACCAGCCGTGCCAGGTTACAAAAATCAAGAATAAAACAAAACTGCAATGCCATCTAAAAGACTTGTGCACAGTTAAATTCATTCAGGTATATATAATAATATTAAGTGCATAGAATTGGTAGATGTTGTTTTCCTAACAAGAGATAAAGTTACAATTGTAAAACAGTCAAAGTTGTAAAGTCCCGACTGTGGGCATTACACACTGCTGTGCAGTGTTTGGCATCCGATAAGCCTTTTAAAGCCGCTAAGGCCACTACTTCAACTGGACTTCCTGGATCATATTTCGTTGTCTCACTGGTACCTTAAACCGCACCACCACTAACCCAGCCCCCTGCAGTGTTTTAATCCAGCCCCGTTTAATCGGTGTCTTTTTAATAATAAGAGGTCTTGTTAGGAAAATTTGTACAAGCAAAGTAGTGTTTTCGTTTTGGCGAGCAAGGTCTTAAAAGATTTTGAAATCCCAACTCAGAAAAACTGTGTCAAAGACGCAGATACGCTGACACTTGCATAGCGTCCAAAATTAGATTTATGATGTTTTCTAGCCTTTCCCCCTTTGAACTGGCACACCGACACATATTCTTTGCAAAAGTAATTTCATATCTGCCGTACAAATGCTCTTAGACAGATTTATTTTTTTTCACAAAGCCAGATAATAACTGCTCACCTCCTCCCTCATTTCTTTTCTTTGAATTCCATGGACCACCTGCATGACCACAATCCAAAAACAAGACACTGGAGGCACATGGGTGGATCACTGTGAGAGTAATGCCTAGTCATTAGACACTAATCAGCATCATTTAATAGTGAAATTCTTGTTATTCCTAAATGAGGCTTGATAAGAAATTTGTTAATTGACAGGAAACTCAAAATCTCAGCGGTCCGGTCCATATGCTTTACTGAAGTCTTACTTACCGAAGTCTCCGTGACTGTGTGTGTTGCTTTAGCTACTGGATGGGGTAACCCCAGTCACTTGCCTCCTCAACACCTGTGTTTACTTTGGGGCCTCAGTCCCCATGACCCAGCAGCAATCCTTCACTCACTCAGAAGATGAAGTGAGCTTCTAGCCTCCAAATATGTGCTGTCCATGCACTTTTACCACTGTGTGATTCCTCTAAGACTTTCATTATGGGGTACTGGCCAAATGACTAGTATAAATTACAATCTTGGTCCAAATTCTAGTAAAGTTAAACATTTAGATCCTGTTCTGTTTTACTGTAATGTCAAGTTAATCTAAGAGCAGAAAGTGCCTGTTTGTCTGTGCTTGTTGTGGATGTTAAGGCTTTCTTAAAGTGCTTTGGGAATGGAAAGTGAATTTGAGGAGCCATTAATGTAGAATATAACTGAACCTGTCTGCTCTTTGGACAGGGAAGCAGACAGACCTGGATTCAAGATGGAAGAAACAGATTTATTACCAGCTCACAGGTGTCTGCAGGAACGTTTGGGATCATTACTTCCTTTCACATTGCCTGTAAACATCCAAGTACTGAACCTCAGTACACTGTTTGGTTCTGTTATGTGTCAAGTAGTTGACCTACTAAAAGAATTGACCGCATATTCAGTCAGATCCTTAATTGAGAAAGATTCAGTGACTCCTCCTACAAAAGTACTTGGTGTATTTGGTGTAATACCAAAGTATTTGGTGAGTGTCCCCTTTGAGGTTTTTTCATCTCTGGACTTCTTCTAGCGCTGCTGAAGTTTTCTGTGAATTTTCTGTTCTGACCACTTGTATTTGTGCATTAGCAATTTCTATTCACACAGAAGGCAAACATCTGCCAAATTTCATGCTGACGCTAAACAGTGGTAGTTCCTACAACACTTGTGTTAAAGAACCCGCAATGTCCAACCCACAAAGCATTGCTTGAGGTCAGGAGCATAGCTAGGAAAATGCTGGTCCTTATTTAATTATTCCTTGGGTTGTGGCTTGAAATCTATTCCTCACAACCAGGTAATTCTCTCCGTGCTCATAGCACGTTTTTCGGCCACACCAGCACAGATGACCAGCAGAATGAGATGTGCCTTTGTCTGCTTTCCCAAGATCCAAATCAAGTTAAAGGTGCTGCTTCGGCAAAATGAAGACCAGCTCACATCACAGATAAAATATAGCGCACAAGTGCCCAGAAAACATTTTGACACTGAGTAACTGTTGACTGGAAGTATTTTCTAAATATCCAGTCTTGGTTTAAAGTTCCAAATTGATTGATGAGCCCATGTCAAGAGGTGGTTCGGTGCAGATTAGTAAGAATTTTCTGTTGGATCTAAAACTTGACACCCATATAAGCACTAATATCAAAGAATTGAAAATAACACCCAGGTATTATTTTTAGTTATTTTAATAGATAGATAGAACTTTATTCATCGCTCGGGTAGATTCCTCTGGGAAATTCAGTTTCCAGTAGCAGAACACGGAAACAAATGTTTCTTTTATTGTTGTAATCCTAATATGTTTGCCTAGGTCTCTCTTGTAAATGAGACATTAAGTCTCAGTGGAACTACCTGTATAAATAAAGGCTAATAAAATCAAACCCACAAAAATACATATAGCTACATGGTACAGACCATCCAAGAAGTTCTGCTCACTCCAAGTGAGTGAAATTCTGCCATTTTATTAGTGAGTTACTTAGCAATGGTTAGCATGTGCGTCTGTGCATTCAACCCATTCCATTTTCAGATTCAAATTCAGATTTGCTAACCAATCCGTATGGTGTTAGCGCGCCGCCATCTCGTCCAAATACTTTCACTCCTTGCAAAATAAATAAATAAATAAAAAATAATGGCAAAAATGCTTACTTTGGTCTGTTTAACTAACTAAAGAAGAAAGAACAGTTTGTTTGGTCTGTTTAACTAAATATTTTCTGAGCTGATTAATGACCATTTTTAATGGATCAATTTGTCCCACAATGCACTGTTGGGAAATGGGCTTTGATGATATGATTACAAATGAAGATGAAACTGCATAAATATAAAGTTGCATTTAGGTGAAAAAATATTAAAAATCTTTATAGTTCAGTTCCACGTTATAAGTGAAATACTTAACTCAACACTACTTGAATAATTGGACATAGTGCACTCATGGGAAATCTGTCGAGAATTTCAGATTTTTTTTTGTGTTCATCACTGTTCCAGAAAGCTGAAGTAACAGCGGAGTTGCATGTTCTACTCTATTGTAGCTTATTTAAAGGCTGTTCTGCTTCTTCTTCTTCTTCTTCTTTTTTTTTTAAATTTACATTCTTTCTTCTTCATGTTTTACCACAACTGAGAAGTCACCAATGGCCTGTTTACTGCCTTTAAGATGTTAACTTGGTGTGGATCTGATGAATGTTTTGCACAGTCGCTTCTGGATGCGTGCCAAAGTTCTGCTGCTCATACTGCAGTGTTAACTGTTCAAATATTAGTGCCAGTGTTTTTTCAGGTGTGGATACGTTTGTGTGCGCCAGAAACAAGTCTCCATGGAAACAGGCTGGCCTAAGTGTAAAAAGTAAAAAGTCATTGAACTCAGATATGATTAATAGCATCTTGCTGGAACCTTCTGCTGATTTTTGTACATTTAAGATGTATTTTAGAATAAAAACCCCTACTTATTAACAACTTAATTTGATACCTTCTGTTAAGAATTTATATGTGGAAGCGTTCTCAGAGCTAGATAAGCTTTGGTGAAGTGCTGTGGATGACATACTAGATGCTGGCTTGAGTCTGCGGGATTATACTTGCAAATTGAAAGGAAAGTCATGCAGACAGAGAGCGGAAATATCTCTCTTCTACAGTGTCAAAGGAGATAAAAAACCAATCAATGGCCAATTTTTAATTCACTTTTTCTTTATAATGTTTGATTATTTGCTCATGTTAGAGCAGAATTGGGTCAGACTGCCCTGTAGCAACACGAAGGTGAAGGTGAAAAGCTTCCATTAAGAACCTTTAAGGCTTCATGTGACTTTTTTCAGGTTAAGAGAAACATTTCAAACCGTTTGAGTGTTGTCTTTTCCAGGACACTGGCAAGTGCAGGAAAAGAACTCAAAGATAACTTCCTGAAAGCCCTGGCAGAGCGAGAGGAGGCCAACCGCAGTGGGAAAATGACTGTGAGTACATTATTACAGCACTCCAATTGCTACGTAATGGGATTCCCCTCAAATATTTCTGCAATTCCATTAGGATGGGAACAAAATCCATACTGTGTCAAGTTGAGTGGAAATGCCCTCCCCAGTTCCTTCCCAAATACCATGAGACCCGGCTGCCTACCCGTTTCTGATCCATAAAACTTTGTTTACAAAAACTCAAACCCAAGTTTGCTTTTTGGATTGAACCACTAAGATAGTTTCTAAGGGGGCCTCACCTGTGGGGCTGTGGTGCCGACTTGAAGCTATATAAACTTTTAGGGGAACACGCTCAGCTCAGTATTTCATCTGACATTGCACAATACAATGGAATGATTAGTCTTGCTAGTGAAGTGAAGCCCTACCCAGACCTGCTGTTTTAATGTCCTTTTGCAGATAACCAGTAAATTTAGTCTTGGACTAAAGTGAACCTTGGAGAACCTTTCACATGTAAAGATTATCCCGAGATTGTTACTTTATGTGTACTAATCACACCGAGTTTAAGGCCCAGGTGTATTGTTAGTCAAATGCGATGGAAATGAAGGCCTTCAGTTGAAGAGTCATAAAACTGCATTCTTGTTTTGTGCCAAAGGTCAAATTTCTCATGTTGGGAAGCACTTTGTTAACTTTATTGTGATACTTCTAACTTCAATCCAGCAGGTCTTTGGGTGACTCACATAGGGTTAGGGGTAGTTTGAGTTGGATTTTTGGAATTCATATGAAAGGTTGTCTCATGGTATCTGCATCTTTTTCACACATCTTTTCTGGGGAATCCTGGTTGAAGAGATTAAGTTGCTAAATGTTTCTCTTTCACAGGGCAAAATGTGGGAAGGAAAGTATTTAAATGGGCATTTTACTGCAAATTGTACTGAATGTAATTCAGAAAAAAGCACTTCCTGTTTAGGCCTAATGTAGCCATGGATGGTTCAGCGCTGTGACTTTGTATTCAGCGTGAAGGTTTAGAGCTGAGCCCCACATATTTCTGGTCCTCAGTAATGCCCGTCTTCTGATTAAACAGTGCTGTCAAGGCTGTTAATAATATGTTGTGAATTTCCCCTTATATCAAAAATGCATTCTTCTATAGCTGCCTCTATTCAGTCTGAATTGCTGTGCTGTGTACAGACTGAAACATATCTGTGAACCCTGAGCTAACAAAGAGTTATTTCGATCAGTACAATACTTGCTCCCTCCCTTAAAAGGTTTCCTACTTTTCGATCCACTAATTTGTGCTGCTCTTGGTAGGTCGCGATGCCGTTATTGAATTGAAACTACCTGCATTGTTTTTTGTTTATAAATTTCAAATCCCATTATCACATTTTTGCAATTGTCCTGCTTGGAGAGTCTGGTTCTAAACCAGAATCTGAAGACGACAATGATGTTAAGCATGGAGATGTGTTATATTTGATTTCTATAGTCTCTGGTGTTTCTGTTTAAAAAAGTTCATTAAACTGTGTTCAAAAACCCAGTTTTAATTTTGTATACCCAACTTCATTGGTTTCTTGCATTTGTTTTTCTCCCCTCAGTATATTCTTCCATATCCTAATACATAACTGTTCTTTGGATGCATTGGTCCATATTCATTTAGACTGAGCCTTCAAAATAACTATCTGGAAGTGTTACTGTGTTACCAAGATGGTTTCTAAGTGGCAGGACTTGCTTATTTCTGGGTCTGTCCAGTCTCAGACGTAGCTGTTGAGTGAGATGTTTTTGGATCACAGGCAAAAGCTGTATGCTTAATTAAACCTAGATGCACTAGGGAAAGATTTCAGCTCGTGACCATGAAGCCGACTGTTTTCATTGCAAACAGTTACTTTTAACATAATTCTCGGTCTTTACTTATATGATGAAAGGAATGTGGACCATTTGAGGGCATGTACAAGGCATTGTTCTGCAGGGAGTGTTAGTGTTGATAGACTTCAAATGATTCACTTCCAAGATGCTGGAGTAACAAAAAGGAGTTTTGTTTGACCTCCATTTACCTGCCCCTGTGGGCTTTGCAATTATGAGATCACATGAAGTGCACGGAGGGGAGTAGGAGTAGTAACACCAAAAGCTTCCCCGCTGGTTGTTAACAGAGTAAACCCTAGCATGTAAAAGCCCCCACTCCTCTTTCTTTTATCCCTTAATAACTTAAGCCAACTTTTTTCTTTCACAGAAACATCCAGTGAAAATGTATTATTTCTTCCTGCATGCAGAAAACAGAGTCACAATAAAAACAAGCAAAACGTTACAGTTTACATCCCTACCTCTGTTTTGCTGACATAATATCTTCCCACCTCTTCTTATTTTTCACCTTTTAAGAGTTCCCTTTGCTGAAAAATTGGATTGGGAAGATGTTTATTTTCCTTTCAGCTCCTTTCTGCTTAAAATTGAACCCACATTGGTGCGCTTAATACTCCTCCTCTTTGAAACTGTTTATGTAAAAGGTAATCTTAATGCAGTTTGACGAAGCTTGACCTCATTGGTATATTTACATTACACAGATGTGTTCCAGAGACAACATTTGCACATGTGTCGACACAAAGTAAAACATATGTTGAGGCCAGTTTCATACATAGCTTCAGACTGGTATTGTACCATATGTATTGTTTATAATCCATTCGTTGTAATCTGTTAGTAAGCACTGATCCCAGTGTTATTTATAAATACCACACATGCTGTATTTCCATACTAACATGTGCAAAACCCCCCGAAAAGACACAAATACGGTCATGCTGCATGAAAAATTTGGGCTCTGTTTAAATTTCTTTCCTCTTCTCTCAGTTACACCTAAAGTCCTTTCAGTGAAAGTGTAAAACGACACCTGTTTGTCTTCGATAAGGTTCGATAGTAAGACCACCCGGCATCATAAAATGTCTCTCACACTGTTTAAAGTTAGCTTTTGGAAGGACTCGATTTAACCTTCCTACCTGCTACGCACCTCAAACCTGAAGATCAGTCCCTCTAATGCATTCCAGGTCCTCGTGTCTTCATTTTCTTACTGTGCTCTAATGCAAAGCAGTTCTCATCCAACATGTGTTTTTACTTTTTCCTTTCTTTTTTCTTTGTGTTTGCACATTATTATTATTTGAAGCATTTAATTTTAAGTGTGGTGCATGCTTTAAAAGACCCACAATTAAACACAGACACACTCAAACACTCCCAGCCTTTCTTCTTGGTCAAATCCACAGGGTTAAGTTTGTTGCTTAAAAACTATCACATTTGAATTGAATTGAAATTAAATGATTAAATGAACTTATCTGTATGATGCAATGTGGAAGTTTTTATGGTTTTTCTTGTAAATCCATCTGGTGTCTCAAGTGTCACCTACCAAATTTGTCATAAAGGATTTCATCACTGAAAGGCTGTGAGGAGAAAAACCATCAATTTTAGGTGCACAATGGACAAGAAAGCAAAGTTATAGCTTTTCCTTTAGATGCATGACACATTCATTGTCATCTCTTTCTGATTTGTCAACGGGGTCACTCCTTTGTCTTTCTGTTATTGTCACACTCAGCCTTTCAACTTTTAAGATTGAAATTACACCTGTCAATTAATTCACACGTTGGGTTATTCTGTCTCCTCTGTCCTAACAATGGTGTTAAAAAAGATTGATAGCAGACATGACTGTTGATGAAAAGAACTCATCTTTCCTTTGTGTGCTGTGTCACTGCACTCCTCCAGGAGTGTGAGCTATTTAGTATTCACAGTGTTGACTTTAATGTATTTTTTAAATGTAGTTGTTTCATAAGTGTTCAGGTTGTAGTCAGCAGAAGGAGCCCTTCACTAGCCGTCTGATCCAATGAACCTATAAGGCTTTCAGTGCCTTGCCTTTGTTGTGCTATTGGTTCCCAGACTCTGTTGCGAAAGCTGCTGCACTGCCAAAAGTTAGACACAAACAAAAGCTGCACCTGGGCAGCTCTGACTTTATTTGCACTGGGTAAGAAGTTAAGGGTTTTATCAAATCCAGGTCACACCTGCACAGGATGCCTGAGGGTGTCCATTGTTGCGAGGTTCACATTTGAAACTTAAGGTGTGCTGCCACCACCCACCCTGCTCCCTGTTTGTCTTCAGCTGTTTGTTGAAAGGCTCTGATGTTGCAATTTCACAGCCAATCTAACATTACCTGTGTAAGAGCACAATTCTGTTATATATGAAGCAGGGAAATTATTGACACTTCACAGGGTTATTTAGCCAAGGCTGTGACAAAGATTATGTTATAGACTAATAAAGATTAAATAAGAAAAAATTGTCAAGCTATGGTCAAATACATTACATTTTAATATTTGAGTGGAGAGTGTTGATAAGTGGTAACATTGCTTTTTGTAAACATTTAGTAACAACATTTATCGTTAATTAACATTAACCTGTGGCAACGCAATGAAGCTTTTTATGGTTTTGTCCCGGAAAATCAGACCTCAGTTAAATTGTGGTTGTGAATTCATTAAAAAACAAAAAAGTTCACGAACGTTTCCCCTTGTTTGTCTGCTCTGAATGGGAAGTTACTCCTGATTATCCTCCTAACCCCCCCACCACCACACTCCCCTGCTGTTAAAGTCAAACCTGCCAACCCACACATTCCCACCCCATCCTACCTCCTGTTGTCAGTTATTCCTGTTAATTCATTTAACTTTGACTTCTGTTCAGTTTTCATGTTTCACTCTATTCCAAAAGAAAGAAAAGTCAGTTCGACTGTCGACCACCTTTGTTTGCTGGGTGAATCCAGTCCTGGCTGTATCCAGAACGTTTTGAAATGTTTAGTATTAATTAAACTTAAAATCTCTCTTCTTTGTTATTTAGGACCACTATATTCAAAAGTAGATTATTTTATATAGCCAATAGTTTATGAATTGAATAAGTTGCAAGGTGGCAAGTAGTTCATGCAGTATGATGGAACATCTTTGTGTATCGTGATACAGCACACACAACTTTGCCCTCACTTCTTTTGGGGGCTTTTGAATTTGTACAAGAAAATAAGACGCGGTACACAAAATACTGCCAGTGAA